GGAATCAAGTATACATTTTCTAATATGAAAATCTTACGACTGGTTAGTTACATGCTTCATTCATACTATGTTTTATTTTTTATTTATTTTTTGAGACAGAGTCTTGATCTGTCACCCAGCCTGGAGTGCAGTAGCACCATCTCGGCTCACTACAACCTCCACCTCCTGGGTTCAAGCGATTCTCATACCTCAACCTCCTGAGTAGCTGGGATTCCAGATGTGCACCACCACACCTGGCTAATTTTTGTATTTTTAGTAGAGATGGGGTTTTACAATGCTGGCTAGGCTGGTCTTGAACTCCTGACCTCAGGTGATCCACCCACCTTGGTCTCCCAAAGTGCTGGGATGACAGACATGAGCCACTGTGCCCGACTGAGGAAAAATATTTCCACAGCTTAATATCTCACTTTTTTCATCTGTTACCAACATTATACTGAAAGAGTGACATTTAGAGTTTACATTTCATGAAAGCAGTTCTTTCACATGGTTCAGGTTTGTTTTTATGTGATCAAATCTTGGCCTCTCTATTTCACCTTACCTAGAGTATAATTTTGGTAACAATGATTCAGTACTAACTGAAGTCCTCAGAAACTCTTTTAGGTTTGAGTTTACATAGACAATAAAAATATTTTAAAAAGATCTTACTGTTATTACTGTCTTAATCCATGTTGCTGCTATAACAGAATAGCACACACTGGGTAATTTATAAAGAAAAGAAATTTATTTCTCACAGTTCTGGAGGTTGGGAGGTTCAATATCAAGGTGTTGGCAGCTGGTAAGGACCTTTGTGCTGTGTCATCCCAAAGGTAAGAGAGGGAGGGGGCAAGAGAGGCCCAAGCTCAAGTTTATAATAACCCACTCCTATGATAACAAGTTTAATCCATTTACGAGAACAGAGCTCTCATGGTCTAATCATTTCTTATTGTCCTACCTTTTAATACCATTATAATGACAGTTAAATTTTAATGTGAGTTTTGGAGAGGACAAACCTTCAGACCATAGCAATTACCAATATGCTGTTTGTCCTCTTATTTTCCTTTTCATAGAAAAATATAATAACTGAAACACACTAGAAGGATCTATGGGAACAACATACAGGGGAAATGTCATTTCTCTTCAATCAATCCAGGGAAACCATACAGAGAAACTAATTTTTGTGAGTTTTTGTTAATGCTATGGCAGTATTTCAGCTGAGGGTCACCTGGAAATTATATCACTGCAGAGGGTGATAAACATTTCATTATCCAATGCTCCATTTTTTTATACTTTCCTAGAGGCAATAACTACATATACTGACAATGAAGATCTGTTAAAGTAGATGCATGGGGTTTTGAAGCACTTGAGGTTTTATTGATTGATTGGTTGATTGATTTTTTTTACTTTGTGTCAACCATCTCAGGATCTGGATTTGGGGGACTGACTAAGAATGGCTGGGAAGAGTCAGTAGGAAACCTCAGGATTTGTCCAGAAACTAGGACGTCATTGTTTTTAAACCAGTTGACTAGTACAGGTGTATCCAAGAGTTTCTCAGAATAAGAGTCACAAACACCCAAAAGTTGTCCCCATCAGCCAGGACCACATTTCCCTGCTCAGCTCCTTGTGCTGCTGTTCCTCTCATCCTGAGCAGTTCTCTGACTCCGAGAGCCTCTGCCGGCCTACCAGCCCAGCATAGACCTCTCCTTTGAGATCTGTTTTTTGGGAGGTTATTTCAGTAGATAGTGATATGGTTCAGGGCAGCTAGTTTGCAATTTAGAATCTCTGCCTTGTACCGAAGCCCAAAACAATTAAACCCAGTGCACAAGAATGTTTCAGTGCTGCCCTGGCTTCTGGGCTCTGTCTTTTTATCTAATCTTAGTTGTCAATGATTTCAAGAGCAAACAGCTGAGGAAGCCTGAAGACCAACAAGAAACTTCGAGCAGACCTGGCTTGCAACTATTTATAAATTAATTTTGTCATTCCCTCTTCCCTATATATTGTTCCTTGAATTCTCCTTTGAATTAGCTATAACATCTTACTGGTTCCCTCATGAATGAGTTACCTAAAAATTTTGATATGTTTTCATTTTATATTGTATGAAAGGCATGATTTTTACCTCCAAAAGTATCTTTTAACATTAGGTACGTTATATATTAAGTACTTGTTAGATACTTTATGTGCTTATTTTGCAAACTCACAGAACACTCTTTTATATACCAGGTGGTGTTTTAAGTGCTCTGTAAGTATTAACTGATTCGATCTTTCGAATCGGACTATATCATTTATGCTTCTCTTCAGCTCTTATTAGCCCCATCTCATCAAACAGAGGCTCAGAGAGGCCCGAGGTTGTGTCATTAAACTGTAGGGTTGGCGTGAGGCTGAAGCAACTGCCCTACCCAGCAGGCACTGGGAGCTCCCCACTAGGGACTAAATGTTTGTGTCCCCTCTGCAATTCATATGTTGAGATCCCAGCCCCCAGTGTGATGGTATCAGGCATTTGGCAGATAATTAGCTATAGGTGAGGTTATGAGCATAGGTCCCCATAATGGGATGTGTGCCCTTATAAGAAGTGACCAGGAAGCTTGCTCTTCCTCTCTCTCCAGAAAGAAGGTAATCTTCTGCAAGGGCCCCAGGAAGAGGGCCCTCACCAGGAACTTGATCCGTCAGCACTGTGATCTTGGACTTCTCAGCCTTCAGGATTGTGAGGAATAAATTGCTATTGTAAGCCACCCAATCTATGGTATCTTTGTTACAGCAGCTTGAGTCAAGATATACCCTCTACTCGTGCTGTAGGATGAGGTGAGAATAGGCCCCCAGCTTTGTAAAGATGCATAAAGCTGTATCTTTGTTATTATTGTTATTATTATTATTAGATGGAGTTTCATTCTTGTTGCCCAGGCTAGAATGCAATGGCACGATCTCACTGAAACTTCCTCTTCCTGGGTTCAAGCACTTCTCCTGCCTCAGGCTCCCAAGTAGCTGGGATTACAAGCATGCGCCACTACACCTGGCTAATCTTATATTTTTAGTAGAAATGGGGTTTCTCCATGTTGGTCAGGCTGGTCTCGAACTCCCGACCTCAGGCGATCTGCCCACGTCAGTCTTTCAAAGTGCTGGGATTACAGGCGTGAGCCACCACACCCAGCCAATTTTTATTATTCTTTATTATTTATTTTCTTACTTTGTCACCCAGGCTGCAGTGCAGTGGAATGATCTTGGCTCACTGCAGTTTCAGGCTCTTGGGTTCAAGCAATCCCCTTGCCTCAGCCCAAGTAGCTGGGACTACAGGCACGTGCCACCACACCCTGCTAATTTTTGTATTTTTTTTAGAGATGGGGATTTGCCATGTTTCCCGGACTGGTCACAAACTCCTGAGCTCAAGCCATTTGCCCATCTCGGCCTCCCAAAGTGTTGGGATTACAGATATAAACTGCATCTTTAAAGAGCAAAACAATTGTGTTGACAGAGGGGAGGAGGCTGTGATAAATGGATTCTACAGAAGCCCCCAGCTGTGGAGGCCTGTGCTCTATCTGGCCTGTGGCTTTGTCTGACAGTGGCAAGGCCCTGGGCAGGTGTGGTGGCCATATGTGCCGTTTCCTACTAGAGGTTCCACTTAAATATTGGTCCATTTCTTTCCTCAAAAACATGTATCCTGGTTTATTTTTTAAAAAATGGCTGGGCGCTGGGTATGGTGGCTCATGCCTGTAATCCCAGCACTTTGGGAGGCTGAGGCGGGTGCATCACAAGGTCAGGAGTTCGAGACCAGACTGGCCAATATGGTGAAACCCCCGTCTCTACTAAAAATACAAAAATTAGCTGGGAGTAGTGGCAGGCACCTATAGTCCCAGCTACTCAGGAGGCTGAGGCAGAGGTTGCAGTGAGCCGAGTTGTGCCACTGCACTCCAGCCTGGTGGCAGAGCAAGACTTCGTCGTAAAAAAAAAAAAAAAAATGGTTGGGCACAGTGACTTGAGGTTGTAGTCCTAACCACTTGGGAGGCTGAGGCAGGAGGATCACCGAAGCCAAGAGTTGGAGGCTGCAGTGAGCTATGATTGTGCCACTACACTCCAGCCTGGGTGACAGATCAAGACCCTGTCTTAAAAAAATAAATTAAAAAAAAGTAAGATTATCATCAGAGAGTCTCAGGGTGACAGAGGCAGCCTGGCGCAGGGGATAAGGCACAATTGGAATCTGCTAGACTGGGTTCAAGTCCTAAGTCGGCCATTCATAGCGTGAATAAATTAGAATTGGCTTAAATTAACATTTAAAATTTCAACGGGATTAAGTAAATGCTTTCTTCTCACTTTTTCCACAGGAAGTGAGAAAGGTCTCAGCAAGGCCCGAGGAGGGAAGGGCGTGGGAATGAACGGGATCCAGAGAGTCTGTGCATTGGCAGAGAAGATAGTGTAACCAGCTGTGGCGCTGCGGCTGAAGGGCTGGTCTCGGGTGAGCTGCAGCCCTGCTCGCTGGCCGTGGGAGAGGCTTCAAACAAACGCAGGAAGCAACTCCCAGCCCCATAAAGATCTGTGACCGGCAGCCCCAGAACTGCCTGCCTTCCTGACTTCTGCTCCAGAGCAAAGGTCATCCATTCGCTTGAATCAGCCTTTTTTCCCTCCCCTTCCCCAACTTTGTTAACCTGATAAGGAAGGTCAGCACTCAAAGTCAAGAAGAGCCTCTTATCTTCCCCTGCGCTCTACAAATAGTTCCGTGAGAAAGATGGCCGGGAACTCGATCCTGCTGGCTGCTGTGTCTGTTCTTTCGGCCTGTCAGCAAAGTAAGAGGCATGGGAAGTTCGTGTGTGCGAGCGTGTGAGACGGGGCTGGCGGGAGAGAGATTGAGAGGGAGGGAGGGAGGGAGATGGGGCCGGTGTGTTGCTTCCTACTCGCCCTTGCAGGTGGCTCTGGGTCCTCAGAGCACAGTCTCCTTAGGGTCACCCGTGCCGCCTGCGCTCCTCCTTCCCAGGGGCAAGCAGAGACTGAGAACATTCCAGAGGTTAGTTCTCCCAAGTGGAACGCTGTGGGGCCTCAGAGCTCGCGATTCTGCATCATCTGTGGTTACGACCCACAACCCGTTCAAATGAGCATTATTAGTAGCCTGCTAACCTGCAGGAAGTGGTGTGAATATGAATTACCAGTGTTCCAAAGGTAACGTTCCTGGTTCTAAACCTGGTTGTGATTTCTTGAACGCTGATGTTTTAATTAATGGGTTTTCTTAAATAAACTGCGTATGGTGGTATGATTATCAGATTGAAAAAAACCTCCTTCAGAAATATGAGCTTTGGATTAAGTAATTAGCTCTAAGTTTTAAAACAACTTCCCACCGGGATTATTCAATATATCCTGACTGCCTGGTTAAATAGAGGCTTTTACTCCATGGGACTCACATTTGCTCAATTCATATTATCTTACCTACAGTGTCAGCTGGGGAAAGGGGTTTGAGCACAAGAGAGCAAGACTTCTTACCAAGCATGCGTATTTCTTTATATTTCCAAGTGTGCCTGTACCAGGAAATAGGGCTGTGCTGTAGACTGCTCAGGTTACACAAACAGCCAGAAGCAGGAAGGCCTCACAGCTAAGGATCCAGTCCAGGCCTCCCTGCATGCGAATGTCTTGCCTAGCCAGCCTGTTTTGTGATTGTATGGAGATCTTAAACCTTCAGACACACGTTTTGTGGTTTGATTCACAATCTGTCGTGGAAGAGAGCAGGATATTTGTTTCTAATTAAAGAAGCACTTAGATCTGTTAAAAGAAAAACCCTAGACAAATTACATTTAACTGAGTTTAATTGAGCAAAGAACAATTCACAGTTGGGCATGAGGAACCGGAATAGGTTTGGAGAGACTCTGGGGCTGCCATGTGGTAGATTTATGGACAGAAAAAGGAAAGTGACTTCCAGAAAACAGAAGCGTATAGTACACGATGTATAGAGGAACTTTTAGGCTGAACTTAAAATGTGTCAGAAGGCAGCTTTAGGCTAAACCTAATTTAACAGGTCTAAGGCGACCCATTCTGACTCGCAGGTGCTACCAAACCTGGATGTGCCTTTATCCTAGGCCTGCAGAGGGCACAGGAGCAGGTCCACAGATGCCCCAAGGCTGGCAGAGGCGCTCATCTTCCCTATTTGCTGCTTGTGCAGGGGATTGTGTGAACGGGGGCCAGAATATCAGGGGGCTGGATGGCGAGGGGGTAGGTGGGGAGAGAGGAGAGGAGACTGGGTGAATGATAATTCATGGTGAACAGGGAATGTTTAATGATAAAGTGTTAGGACCGGGTATGGCGGCTCATGCCTGTAATCCCAGCGCTTTGGGAGGACAAGGGCGATGGATCATGAGGTCAAGCCATTGAGACCATCCTGACCAACAAGGTAAAATCCTGCCTCTACTAAAAATACAAACATTAGCTTGGAGTAGTGGCATGCACCTGTAGTCCCAGCTACTCGGGAGGCTGAGGCAGGAGAATTGCTTGAAACCAGGAGTTGGAGGTTGCAGTGAGCTGAGACCGTGCCACTGCACTCCAGCCTGGAGACAGTGAGACTCCATCTCAAAAAAAAAAAAAAAAAACAAAAAAAAAAAAAAAAAAAAAAAAAAAAAAATGATAAGGTGTTGATGAAAATAGTTGAACTCTGTAAAATATTTGAAAGGATTTATTCTGAGCCAAACATGAGTGACCAGTGGCCGGTGACACAGCCCCAGGAGATCCTAAGAACATGTGCCTAAAGAGGTCTGGCTACAGGTTAGTTTTATGCATTGTAGGGAGACAGAAGACATCAGTCAATTCATATAAGATGTACATTGGTTTGGTCCCAAAAGGTGGGACAACTGGAAGTGGGGCATGGGCTTCCAGGTCATAGGCAGACTTAAAGATTTTCTGATTGGCAATTGATTAAAAGAGTTTATCTACAGACCTCAAATCCACAGAAGGGAGTGTCTGAGTTAAGGGGTTGTGGAGGCCAAGGTTCTTACTATGCAGATGAAGCTTCCAGGTACCAGGGTTTGGAGAGAATAGATTGTAAATATTTCTTATGAGACTTAAAAAGGTGCCAGACTCTGTTAATTCTCTCCTGGATCAGAGAAAAGACCTGGAAAGGGAAAGAGATTTTCTGCTGAACATAGACTTTTCTTGTAAAAGACAATTTTGCAGGACCATTTCAGAATACGACAAATATATTTTAGGGTAAAATACTTCAATTTGTTTCAAGGCCTACTATCTGTCGTGTGATGCTATACTAGATTCAGGCTGGAATTTGGTGTCTTATTGCTACAAAAAGTCTTAAGTGTTAGGTGTTTTAAAGGGAAGGTGAGGGTTAAAGAAAGAGAGAGACAGAGAGAGAGAGAGGGCAGCTTTACAACACAGGCATATTGCAAAAACCTGTGGAGGCGGGGGACCAGCTTAACGCCAGAGCCCCCCACTGTTTACAGGCTGGGATATGTATCGATGTGGGCGGGAGGGGTTTGGGCAGTGTGGCTTGCTGCCCTGGAGGATATGGATAGGATGTTCCTATGGTCAGGTGGTTTGTCCAGCAGGATATGATAGGGATGTTCCTTCAGCTGGGCCTTTGCTTGGCAGGGTATGATAAGGATGCCCCTGTACCTTGTGGTCAGGTGGCTGGGCAGAATGTTTCTCAGGGCCTGAAACCCCACGGAATGTTTCATTCTGACCAAGATCTGTGAAATGGCAGGGGGCCTACAAAATGGCGCAGTTTGGACTAACATTAAGGTCTGTTTTAATGTTAATGCTGGTCAGTTGTGTCTGAATTACAAAGGGAGGAGGACATAACGAGGCACATCTGACACCTTCTTCCCGTCATGGTCTCAACTCGTTTTTTAGTTTAACTTCAGAATGCTCTTGGCCTAGAGACAGACTCCATTGAGATGATTGAGGGGTTTAGAATTTTATCCTTGGTTTACAAAGGAGAGAGAGAGAGAATGCATGAGGGAGATAGAGGAAGACACAACTGTTTCGCTGGCATTAGGAACCAGAATTTGCTGCCTTTGCAAGTCTAGTGTTCATGGAGTTGGGATACCATGTGCCACGGTTTTGAAGACAAAGCTGTATCTGTCTGGTCCAGTCACTTCCCAGCTGGGTGTCCCTGTTCAGGATACACTGCCCTTCAATGTCACCATCAAAGAGGGTTTAATGGGACTCCTCGGAGGAAACCCTGCCACAGTGCCTGGCCCCTCGTACGTGCTTAGCACCGTCAGTTCACATCCTAAGATCCTTCTTCAAAGAGAGAGGCTTCTGCTGCATGGAGAGGTAGCCACAGGGTGAAGGAGCCCAGCTGTGGCTGGGTGGGCATCATAGGGGGTAAGGGGCACAGAGAAAGCTTTCCCCTTCACCCTCTGAAGGTTCACCAAAAATCAGCTGGCAAAAGGCAGATTAATAGGAGAAAGGGTATGGCAATTTATTTTAATATGCACAGTATGAGAGAATGATTGCCCAGTAATCCAAAGGGGCACAACAGCTTATATACTACTCTTCACAGGGGAGGGAGGAGATGAGGAATGTAGACAATTCTTTTGAGTGGTAGCAAAAGATTATTAGGGAAGATGAATGGACTGGGAGACAAAGTAACTTGTCAATGACTCTCTTTGGAATTTGATGGGCCAGAGGGGTAGGCTTAATCTGGTGGGAAAGTTCGTCCAGGTGTGTGCATTCCTTGGTCTTATTTATTTATTTATTTGAGATGGAGTCTGGCTCTGTCGACCAGGCTGGAGTGCAATGGCACGATCTTGGCTCACTGCAACCTCCGCCTCTCAAGTTCAAGCGATTCTCATGCCTCTGCCTCCTGAGTAGCTGGGATTACAGGCATGCACCACCACGCCTAGCTAATTTTTGTATTTTTGGTTGAGACGGGGTTTCACCATATTGGTCAGGCTGGCCTCAAACTCCTGACCTCGTGATCGCTCCCCTCAGCCTCCCAAAGTGCTGGGATTATAGGCATGAGCCACCACGCCTGGCCTCCTCGGTCTTCTTTTCCACATGAGATAATGAGCTCTGAGGGAGGAGAGGGCAGGCAATTGTGTTTGCATTAGGGAGTCTGGTTTTTAGGTAGATAAGGGAGCTTCAGAGGACTGCCAAGCCACATCCTGTGCCTTGGTAGAGACCACGGGTTGAGACAGGAGGCAGTGGAAATGTCATAAGGGCCTTGAGGCCACTTGTTTAGTTGAGTCATATTCTGAGGTGCAAAATATTCTGGTTTCCTTCAGGGGGGTTAACAGAAATACCCAACTCTGTGAAGTCTTCTAAAGTGGATTATTCTGAGCCGATATGAGTGACCGTGGCTCAGAGAAAACACAAATCCAAGAAGCCTTCAGTGGGTGGTCCCAAGGTAACTGGGTTACAGTTTGGGTTTATACGTTTTAGGGAGGCAGAAATTACAAGCAAAGACATAAATTAATACGTGGAGGGTATCTACTGGTTCAGCCCAAAAATGTGGGATATTTTGAAGCAGGGGGCATACAGGTTATAAGTGGACTCAGATTCTCAAATCTGCAGTTGGTTAAAAGAGTAAAACTTTGTTTGAAGACTTGAATTCAGCACAAAGAAATGCTTAAATCAAGAGACGGAGGTGGCCGGGCGTGGTGGTTCATGCTGCAATCAAGCACTTTGGGTGACCAAGGTGGGCAGATCGCTTGAGCCCAGGAGTTCAAGACTAGTCTGGACAACATGATGAAATGCTGTCTCTATTAAAAATACAAAAAATTAGCCAAGTGTGGTGGTGCTCACCTGTAATCCTAGCTACTTGGGAGGCTGAGGTGTGAGAAGTGCTTAAGCC